CAAAACTCATTTTTGAAGTAGAATTAGTGGATATTGATTGAAACAGCAGGACTTAGGATCTGAAGACATCAGCATTATTAAAACTTGGCCTTGAAACTTAAGAAACTAGAACTTATTATTGTAAAGAATCAACTGGAAATTTCAAAGAGTTAAGTAAAACTTGCTTGATCACATTTTTTGAGAAATGTAATCCCTGATAAATCCCTGAAGTCTAAAGTATTTTACTATAGCTGTGTGAAATACTGGTTAAGGAAAACTGTACTTCCTTTTACCTCATGTTGTGAAACTGAAAAGTTCAATTAAAATATATCCACTACCTTAAAAAAAATGTTATGTGAATGATGCTAGACGAGAGATGGTGGCACAAGCCAGTAATACCAGCACTCAGGAGGCTGAGGTGGAAGGATGGCTGGGAGTATGAGGCCAGGCTGGGCTACAAAATGAGTTCAAGGTCACATTGAACTGCATAGTGAAATCATGTCTAGAGAAGAGAGGGGAGGAGAGAGGAGGGGAGGCAAGAGAAGAGGAGAAGAGGGGAGGAAGAAAAAGGGAGGGGAGGGGAGAAGAGATGTCAGTCACAGGGACCACATGGTAGATGATTTCATTGTTATAAAATATTCTGACCAGAAAATAAATCAGTGGTTGCCTGGGAATAGAAGTAGGATAAATACAGGATCCTATTAATGGGTACAAAGTTTCTTTATTGGCTATGAAGATGTTCTAAAAGTGACAGTGGTTGATACTTCAATCATGCAATACATGAAAAGTCAGAGTGATATTTTTGTCTTTTACTTTGAGACAGGGTCTTACTTTCCAGTCCAGGCTGGCTTTGAACTCACTATATAGCCTAGGCTAACCTCAGACTCATGGTAATCCTCCTACCTCAGCCTCCCAAATGCTAGGATTACAGGAGTGTGCCACCTCACCCAGCTGAATGATACATTTTAAATGGATGAATTATATGGCACGGAATTACTCAATAAAGTCTATATACTTTAAAAAAATCATCACAAAAGTTAAAGCTGAATTAGTATAGAAGACATAAATCTAAATGAAAACACAGTGAGACAGGAAGATCTACGAGTCTGAACTGCACAGCAAAACTCTGTATCAAATAATTTTTTTTAATTTAATATTAGTACAGAGTTAAATTAAATTGATCATTTAGGCATTATTTGGTTTCATTAGTTTCACATATTCTATAGCTATTTATAATAGGGGAGTAGTTGAGTACATTATATTAAAACTTCAAAAGTATTTTTAAAGTTGTAAAATAGAACCATCAAGCAACAAAACTGCAAAATAGAAAAACTGTTAAGTTCTGAAACACTATGGTTCTAGCCCTGCATATATTTCTGTCAAAACTCTCGTATTTACACCCTTAGCTTTGATTTTCATAAAATAAGTTTATTTCCAAAAC